TCTTTGGCAGATTCTCCTACACCTACCTAGACTCCCAGAACCAGCTAAGCTATAGCCCAGCTATAAAGGAAACAGACGTGTAGCTCGTCGCGTTTCGAATGTGCACCTCTACGAGACTCAAGAACCTCATCCGTGTACCCAATAGAAATAACAGCCGGAGTACGTTACCCTTCGAAAGCCTACCCTTACAGGTCCCCAAAACTCCAACTCACAACTGCGTTTCAACCGGCAAGCCGAGACCGATCGTCAGGCAAGCACATCAAGAACCTCATCCGTGTACCCAATAGAAATAACAGCCGGAGTACGTTACCCTTCGAAAGCCTACCCTTACAGGTCCCCAAAACTCCAACTCACAACTGCGTTTCAACCGGCAAGCCGAGACCGATCGTCAGGCAAGCACACGCCGGAAGATTTCGACCATGAATTGTCGCAACCGAACATCTGTTCAACAAGAACGTTGAACACCGATCATTGCATATGGAGGAACATCCCACAGGACGCTCGTCAGTGGACCAAACACTGCCTCACTCGCTCAGCCGGCAAGGTCCACAGGGATGCACGAAATCCACAATCCTACTGCTTCTAACTCCAACAATCCCGTCGCAGCATTTCCAACACCTGTCCCACCTCTACCCAAAACCCTGTTACTCTAAGGCCGAAGATCTACCTTCCCCTCCCAACTAGTTGTTTTTTGTACCTTAACTGATTATCGAGCATTTTCATTATCTTTCAGCTCCCTACAAACGCTTTTGGGGGTGGGGGGGGAGTATTGTGGGACACGTTATCGCTGTGTGCGTCATCGCATGCCTGCATGTCTGCTCGCCAGGATTGGGAGGTGCGGCCGTACAACTCTGTGTGCAGCGACCGTACAAACAGTGACCAACCATTAACCTCTGTTTAACCTAATCCCCCATCCTGATCATGAGTAGCTCCCTGCGTGTACACTTTATCGTAATATACCGATTGAATAAACGTGCTCCGTGCTACACGTCTGTTTCCTTTATAGCTGGGCTATAGCTTAGCTGGTTCTGGGAGTCTAGCTAGATGTTGGAGAATCTGCCATAGAGATTTCTGAGTCAGTCGGGCTATACTAAGGTTGCAGTCCGCTACAGCTCCAATGGCAAAAGTTGGTTCAAATAAACTAGACGTCCAGGGGGGGGGTTTAAATGGTTTAAAATAATCTCTCATAAATTCTTTAAGCTGATAAACAGCGATTTTAAGGAGTTATAACAAATGCCGTCAAACTCCATTAAAGGTTGTCAACTATTGACAACTGTTTTTAGTAAACTACAAAAGAACTTGAGTCATGAAAAGTAGAGATAACTTTCAAATACTATCACTAGTCTGTTCTTTTTTATTGCTATGCTAAACAAAAATAGAAATTATTGAATATTGAGTTATCGTTCACTGAGTTGAAGTTACGATAAAAAATTGCGCAATGTTCACGACTCCAAAAAAACAAATGAAATAAGACTCAATTTGTCATAGTTACCGTTATCCGATAGCAGTTGCTCCCACACAATTCTAAACTAAACTTTTCTTATTCTACTACACGATAACGGTAATTGAGAACGCAGTCTTTTAACTGAATTCCAACTTCATTTCAAGGTCAATGAAAATATTTCCAAATCGATAATTTTTTTTAGTTTTTTGAGTTAGCATAAAAACCTCAACCGAGGGCATACTTCTGCTTATCAGAATGATTTATTTTCAAAAAATTTAATCACTTGTTTTCGTGATCGAGGTAAATTTTTTTTGCACTTCGAAGTTAACATTTGACAACTAACAGGCAATAACGTTTTAACTTAGCTTCATAGGCAAAAAAATTCACAAGTTTCTAATAGTAATTTTTGCTGTTTCCAAGAAATTAATTTTAACTTAAGCATTTTTATGTTACCTTCAAAGCATAGATTGCGCAGATTTAAAGTACCGGTACATTGACTCACTACCTCTACTCTAATCGTACCTGGATTATGAGCACGAAAACGATCGACTAACGTACCCTACTTCACTTCCCACGTACCTCAGATCCGGAGGACCCGAGAGACTTACCTCCACGTGGTGCACCCTATAAACCGGCAGTTGACTTCAACTTACCATGACCTGAATGTTTGTCATATTCAACCACTTCCACAGTACTCACTTTATCTTACTTTTTCTCTGCCTTTGTGTCTGTCTAGTTTACATCTGTGAGTCACTCTTCTGTTCCCCCTCCCCACTTTTGTGACATTAATGTTCCTCCTTTGAAAAGAATCTTATTGGGTTAAAAACGGCGAGGACTACGATCCACTTTAATGAGAAGTTGTATCAGATTTGAAGACAGAATAGGTAGCACAATGCCTGAATATACATAATTAACATCAAAATAAACTTACATCATTCATCCCAGATCGAATTCACCGAAATCAAGTGATCCGCCTTCAGCATTCCGTGGAAAGGTCCCAATTCTACGGGAACCTCGATTGTGTGCGTGCTACAAAAAGAGATATCACATGTTTATTCAGAGTGCTGAAATAGTGGCTAAATGTAGGCATTGTCGGTGCATTCATGGCGTATTCGGAGCCAACACAATTCTCCATCCCACCATAAACCCAATTAGTGCCTGGCTGAAGTGAAATGGATTTACCCAATTGATACACACTCAATTCCTTGTTATTTCACTGGGAGAGTTGTGTGTATCAACTATAACCGTGGATATGTTTACACCGCCTACAACGTTAATTGCAAACTTTGGGCTGATTTATTATAAGATCAGTTCTAATGTGTGAGATTCGATTTCAAAAAATATCTCATAGCTACGCAAAATCACGCAGAAGTTATATAAACCATAGGGGTTAGTTAAAACTTTACACCTGTAGGGGAAAAATAAGCATATTTTGGCAAGAGCTTTCTGATATCTTAATCGTTGAAAGTTTGAGCCGTTTGAAATGGTAAGAGCGATCTTCACAATTAATCAACTGACCAATCACCACTGGATATAGTGGAAGTATCTACTTAACAAATCATGGTATTTGAATGTTAGAATATAAACTACTCACTATAAAATATATTTTCCAACCAAATTTCAAAATCAAAGTTGGCACTTCAACTTTGCAAAAAACATCTTTACGATCGCCTATTGGAATCACTGTTACCCGAGTTCAACTACATTCACCCTATTCCGCATTGCATTGAGGGTAAAAATATACAAAAAGTATGGATAACAGAACAATATTTGGTTATTTTTTCCGGTTGTGTTACAGGTATTCAAACACACACACACACACTACACGCTTCCTTTAAAATCCTAAAGACGCGTATATTCACATACGTGATAACAAGAATGAATAGCTGGATCACATCTGAATCATGAAAGAGAATTACTTTCATCACGCTGATTCGTGCCAATATTAGAAAAAGGATTGTTATGATTGCGTCATGGGGTGTGTGGTAGACCTACCTTCACGTTGTCCACCCTGGGCAACGTATACTCATACTCTTCTATTACCCATCTGGAATTTTTGTGACTTTGATGTTCCACCTCCTCCTCTGTGAAGCCTGAAGTCAGCTAAAGGGCTAATGATAACTATCAAAATGCCTACCATTTGAGATAGATAAATAAATAAATGATTGTGTCATAAACCAGACAATTAAAATGGAAACTATGAGATTAGGAGGAAGTAGTATTATAGAGCGGCGAGATATACGCATACTTGCCTGTTGTCTCTTAGCAACAAAGAATATATCCATTTTACGAAAAAAAAGTTATTGGGGAGGAGGAATGGATCGTTTACGACAATGTTAATCGGAAAAACAATGGTGGTTTCCAATTCAAACAACATTTCCACTATCAAAGCCAAGCCAGAGTCGGTATTGTATGAATTTGATTGAATTTACTTCGAGTAATCAATTGCTAGAAGTGTAGTACTGGGCGAGGCAGTTACACCCAAAGTTTGCTATCAACGATTGGGAGGACAAAACCGAAAATTAAAAGATAAATACCCTATTCTTAAAAGAAAATGGACAATTCTCCAACCTGGCAATGCCTGCCTTCATAAATTAAGATTGATCTCCCAATAAAAAAATATAAACTATATCGGAAGGTTCCACCCCACCTTCCATATTCGCTAGATCTCGCCCCAGTTAATCATCATTCTCCCAGGTCATAGAGCATGGTCTAAGGATGAAACCGATTTTGAAATGCGATTGAAGTAGAAAACCACTTGTAGGAGATTGTTACTTTAAAAACCGGTTTCTTTCCATTTCTGAAATCGAATCCCAATGATGGCTGAAATAAAATTACATAGTGTCATACGCCTAATTTTAAAATCAATACCTATTAATTGAAGATTCAAGATGAGCAAACTCTTAATGGTTCGCCCAAGGTAAGTACACAAACCGCAATCATGATTGCATAAACAGGAAATGAATTACAATAACTTTAGCACTCTTATCCTCCACTACGAACTGACAAATGAGATTAAATTGCAACAAAATGAGACAAAAATAAACAATAAATATTAATAATTTCACGATTTAATTTATGACTCTGAATGAAGTCCGGTTTATTTAAGTAGAGGTTACCATACCAAAAAGCGGTCATAAATTAGGTCATTCTGATATGTCCCAATTCGAAGCCATTCACGCAATGGCCAAGGAATATTGAGCGAAATAGTAATGATTTTCAAGAATAAGTAGGGCGTAAAACACCATAGTCACTCGGTGTTATATTTCGAATCAATTCGACCCCCCCCCCCCCATATCTTGTTAAATTTCAATTGCATTAACTGTTAAGGCCTTCTATTCTATCCTATTGATGCACGTGTTCACCTACTTCTAACTTGAATTCCCATGGTAATAAGATACTAACTTAAATCAGTAAGCTTCAGTGCAACTGAGGTTAGAAGTTCGTTGAGAGTTTGACTGCTTACAAACAGCTTCCATTGAATGGGCGGAATTAAATGCACGTGTTGAAGTTGTTTTGTCTAAAAGAGGGTGGGGTCATCTCTATTTTGACGGGGATCTCAACCACCCACGGCATAAGGTATCTTCCCCCCCCCCCCCCCCACATATAGTATTAATATTGGGGTGTGCGATAGACTTACCTCCATGTGGTGCACCCTGGGCAACGTACACTCATACGGCAAAAAAGTCTAGTAATCGGCAGTTGACTTCTGACTTCAAACTACCATGACCCCACTGTATGCCATATTCGGCCACTTTCACAGTATTCATTTTACCTTTTTCTCTACCTTTGTGCCTGTCTCTTCTACATCTTTAAAACACTCTTCTGTTCCTCCTCCCCCTCACTCTCGACTTTTTTCACTTTGATGTTCCTCCTCCTTTCTGTGAAGCCCGAAGTCAACTAAAGGGCTAATGATAACTATCAAAACGCCTGCCATTTAATATAAATGATATGAAGAAATATCTTATTTTAATGTGCAGTCTAAAATGAAAACGTGCCTGAATAATCCTGGATTTTCAAGCAATAAAAAAACAGATAAAGTAATATATTATTGAAGTAACCGAAAATATAACCCACAAATATCCAAATTTGCTAAAATTGTTAAATAAAACTGATGCAATGAGGTTATATTGGCCGTTTAAAAGTAAAATTTGAGGAATCAAATTCAAAATTTGACGGAAAAACTTTTAATCTTAATTTTGTTAATGAATTGTAATAAGTGATTTTAATTTTCTTCATTAACTCCATCTAAAACCTAAAAGGGTTGTGTTTAAGTGCTCCCAGAAATTTTTAAGGGAAACCACTTAAAGTTAAAATGCGTTAATTAAACTAATGGCGTTGATTGAAATTCGCTGATTGCACAAAGATTACGGTATCCATTAAACTAATTCCATTATCAGCATAAATTTCATGGCATATTTAAAGGATATTTATTACAGATAAATGTCTCTCTTACCCTGGAAGGGAGCGTCTTATGAAACTTTTCAATAAAACCCCGCAGGGATTCTTCATCAACTTTAGGGAAGGTGATATTGTCCTCTAGGAGTCTTTTGAAGATTGCTGCCCTTCGCTTTCGTGTGGAGTTCTCTTCATCGTTCTCCTCTCGTACCATCCGACCAAGAATGTTCAAATTCTCAATCTCTCGAGAAAGCTCTTCTCTTTCCTTCTCTTCTTCTCTATCCTCCTCCACAATTTCATCATTCATTGCAATGGCTGATAAGAGGGCATGAATTTTCGCCTCCTTTTTCAAGTTTTCAAGTAGCCTCTTCATTTTCAGGCTTGCCATCAAATTATGCAGCTCTTCAAGATCTTCCGCTAGGAAATCATCCTCATCTGTATTGGGGAGAGGTAGTGACAATGCGGTTGATGAAAAGGTGAGGAGAACAGTCAACAATGCACAAAGTGGCTTCATTCTTCCGTTAAACAAGTTCGTCCGTTCTACTTACTGAGCTCGGTTACTCTGAGAGGGAGGAGGAATTGAGTCTGCCAATTGAGTGTTCTCACTGTGTTTGATTGGACAGCCCAATGAGTAGCCAATCAGGTTAAATGCAATTAATTTTGGTCATGCTCTGATGGAAGCAATGTTGTCTGGAAATTTTGTTACAAGTTGCACAAAAGAAAGGGGGCAACATTTGCTTAATAATAACGTTTAATAACATTACTAGCCCATTATTTGAAGAAAGCTGTTTAATTATTCAAATTAATTCTCATTGCGTTAGAATAAGCTAAGATTTGCGATTAATTATCTTACACTAAATACTAGTGAGCATTAGAAAATTTGAATTCTAACAAAGTTATATCGCTTCCTTGAAGTATATGCTGTCAACTATGTCAGAAACTAAGCAGTTTTGTGTCGGATAGGAAAATTTATTTATATCAAATGGCAGGCGTTATGAAAGTTATCATTAGCCCTTTAGTTGACTTCAGGCTTCACAGAGGAGGAGGAACATCAAAGTGAAACAAGTCGAGAGGGAGAGGGGAACAGAAGAGAGTTTCAAAGATGTAAAAGAGGCAGACAGACACAAAGGTAGAGAAAAAGGTAAGATGAGAACTGTGGAAGGGGTCGAATATGACATGCAATGGGGTGAGGGTAGTTTGAAGTCAGAAGTCAACTGCCAGTTAATAGACTTTTTTGCCGTATGAGTATACGTTGTCCATGGTGCACCACGTGGAGGTAAGTCTATCGCACACCCCCTGATAGAAAAATAATGGATAGTAAATGAAATTTGGGATCCCATTTACAAAATGTGGAGCGCACTAAGCTATCATGACTGAACAATAACACTTCATGCACACTCAGACAGGCTCAAAGTTGTGGTCGTGGTACTTGTCGGATGGGAAACAAGTGCCATCATGATCACAGAGACCTCTCAGCCAGTCACCAGCTGAATTGTTTAACGCGCCATTCATCGTATTTTAAATGTTAATCTCCGTGACAGACACACCCCAAATTAATCGTGTTTCACTAAAAGCGACTGTTTCCTCTTTATTGTTGAGGGGATTTTGCCATAGAAATTACTGAAGACTAGTCAAGGCTTCTTCTTCGTGTAGCAATCCGCTACAGCACCTCAAACCTTTAAAAAATGCAGGTGAAGAAAAAGAGTTTAAATAAGTAAGGTTTCATTAGACAACCTTTGTTCAATCACTATTCTTCCCCATTGTTCTGTGTGATTAAAAGCTTAATCTAAATCGAATTTAAGTTCGCTTTACTAAGTATATGAACAATAGTGAATCAGATCAGCATTAATTAAAGGTAGGTTTTCTAGCTAAAATTGTCAAAAAAATGTAAGCACTTCTACAAGGAAAAATAGTTTTCCAAACTACCACAACCCCACTGTATGTCATATTCCACCACTTTCACAGTACTCGCCTTACCCTACTCTCGACCTTTGTGTCGGTCTCTTTTACATCTTTGAAGCACTCTTCTGTTTCTCCCCCCCCCCTCTCTCGACTTTTTTCACTTTGATATTCCTGCCCCTTCTCTGATGCCTGAAGTCAACTAAAGAGCTATTGATAACTATCAAAACGCCTGCCATTTGATATACTTATTCTAATCATAAAGGAATGACCCTAATACTCACATAACAGCTAGGTTAGCCCGACAATCTTCGTGATAGTTTTACTGCTGCAAAAAACAAGTGAAAAACAAAGAGTTGTCAAGAAAAAAGGAAACTCTAGGGAGAGAGAAAGTAAAGGATACGGAAAACGAATAAGCAGTCTCTACCACCGAGAGCATAAGAACCATGCCTTTGTGTGGAACACAGCCATGTTATCGCAGTACTGAAGTGAGTGAAAATCGATAATCAATTAGTTGTGGATGAACTTTGGTCATCATTAGATGAAATACAGGGTCCACTCTCAAGAGCACAAGTACATGTTGGATTTACCGCCTTGATTGAATATAATTTTGAAAAGTACTTTGGGAGCAAAGAGTACACCCACGTGTTGTCGGCGCATTCGGTGCAATTTCATACAATCCTGATTACTAGAGGTTCTGGCTATCAATGAAACTGAACTTTGGACAACACCGTGTATCCTTTTTTCTATTTCGAAAAGGGCTAAATAACCTGCATAAGGAGTTTTTTCTCAATCAAATGTAAATGGAAAAAAATTCATACCCGAGATGAAAAATCATTTGTAACTGGTGTCGTTACCTCATTTCACTTGTTCTTCCAGTGATACGGGGATGAATCAAAAATNCATACCTAATCATTCCTTTTCATCAACATTTACATCGACTTATGGTCAGATTAATGAATGGCTCCAGAGAGTGCGTTGAACCATAAATAGCTGTTCTATTTACTATAGACAGCTTTAAAACACCTAAAGTTTACATGAGAGAGGTGCTGGATCATAATTAACAGGGTGTTAAATTCAAACAAAGCAATTCCAAATCCTCCTCCAGGCAAACGCACGAAAGTCCATTTTAAGCAACACTAACTGCTGACAATGTTTCCTTGAATTAAGCTCCAACATTGTTGAGACCTTAATCCCAGTCTATTGTGCGTAAATTGTGGGCTTGTTCCCCGCCCCTTGAAAAATGAAATACAATTAAAAATGAATGAATGGAATGACCATTTTGGGAGAAGTCCAGTCAACTACATTTACCGCGAACATGAACTTCAACCTTTGAATCTGCGGGTCCATTAGTTGGAAAATCGAATTTTTTGAGTTCTGAATAATCGCCATTAAAGTTCTTTGAATAGGATTAGTTTCCCCTACACCAGGTTTTCAACCACTGCCCCCTCCTGCCGCATTTTTGACTAAAATATCCTCACTGATACGTTACTAAATAATCAATAATAACCCTCTTGGGGTGTGCGATAGACTTACCTCCACGTGGTGCAC